AATGCCTTGAATAACGCTGCTGCACTGAGGTGTGCTGGGGGAACCTGTGGCTGGGTGACTGGGTGACAACTGCCCCACACCTGACCCTCTGCAGGGTGAAGGGGGCTGGGCTCAGGGAAAGCAAAGAAGGAAATTGCCATTTATTGTTCAGGTATGGTTTTGGCTCCTAAACCATTTATATCCAATGAGATCCTAAAAACTACAAATGGCAAAGTGACCTCTGCAAGCTTAGAGAAAACCAATTTGGGGCAACAAATAATTCATCAAATTTGTAATTAACATAATTTGCGGTCATGGCAAGTCATTTGAAGTCACAGAGCTGAAACTTGGTAGAGTTTATAATGATCTCTCTTTTACCTGAATTCTGTGATATCATAGAATTATGGAAAGTTAATCTATAACAAGGGTCATTAATCAAGAAGGCAGGAGGTTTTTGTCCCTGATGTTGTTTAATTCTCTCTAGTCATTATACAGAACAAGAAAAATAAGAAAGTGAGTTAATCTATAACCTGAGAACAGAACTAGGAACAATTTGTGACTCAGATCACAGTCACATCTCTCTCAAGGCTAAAGTATTTTGGGGGTTCCAACAGCTTTTAACTTGTATTTATTTTCATACTTGATTCATACTTGCCCAATGTTTTATTCACTGTTCTTCAGAATGTTTGTAAGATAGGGAAGGACATAGGGGTAGAGACTTTGGAGCCAGACTAGCCTAAGTTAGAGCCCAGCTACTTGGGACTGAGCCCCAGGTCCCATGAGTGTGGGTCTTCATCTGCAAGGCTGGGACCAGACCATGGCGACTTCTCAGTTGGATCCGGTTCAGTTTTTTGTGTTATTTGGCTCTGCATGTGGGACTTAAATGGCCAATCGTAGGTATAGTGAAAGCAGGCCTATGGTAGCATTTGACAAGTATTTTAAGGCCTCCCTGCTTTCCAAATATCCCACTTGGCCAATGGAGAAGAGCAATTCTTGCTTTATAATCAGATCTGTCACTATTTGTTATCTTCATTAAAACAATTTTATATACTTTATTGCATGTAAAAAAGAGTAAAATGGCTGTCTTTAAGTGCAAAATACTCCAATGGCAGAGTTGCAAAATTTATTCATGCTACAACTTGGTGTACCTACATGTGCTCAGTTTTCTTTTAAAAGCTATACCTGATCTGGGGATGAGCCCCTAGGCTTTGGGGAGTTGGAAAAAATATTAGGCCTAGTCCATTCCAATGCAATCATTTAAAAAGTCCATTTAAATAATACTTAATTCCTTGGTAAAATTATCCTCTAGTTCAAATTTCTCCTTTTTTAGCTCCCCTTTTCATTTGTCCCAGCTAAGGGGGGATCTGGTATGTCTGGTATATGGAAGCAGGAAGGACCCATGTAGTGTCTTATATTCTCCTCTGGCTCTTCAGGCAGCTGGGAACAGGATGTCCTCTGGTGCTGAAGTCATGGTCATGTCTCCCTTGGCTGGGTTTGGGTCCAGTAGCCCCTCTAAGCTGATTTGGCCTTTCCTTGGCTCTCACTGCTGGAAATTTCTCTTCACTTCCTCCATCCAAACCTCTGCTCTTCTCCCAGTCCCTGCTGCAGGGGCACCAACCCCTTGCCGAGGTGGCAAGTTTCTCCCTAAGTACTCTTGGACGTTCTGGTCCTGTCCATGGTTAACTGACTACAGAAGAGTGAGTTAGAGAACTAAAAACACCAAGGGCCTATCTGCCCAATCACCCTGCACCTGCCACATTTACAGTGATGCGACCATGCACCAGGTTGGTGTGGGGTAGCCTGAAAGATATACCTTCCTAGAGTTCAAGAAGCAAATTAGGGCAGGCTTCCTTGTACCCCTCAGGGACCAGGAAAGAAGCAGAGGGATGGCGTGCTTTAAAGGGAGGCCTGATTCCAGAGAGTTTAATGAATGGACTATTAGAAAAATGGCAAGAGTTAAGGGCAACAACAGGGACCACTGAAGCACCTTGGAACAATGGCAGCAGGAAGTCAAGACAATCCCCAGACTGGAGGAGAGGCTGTTCTTGGGACTGGACCAGAGCTGAGCTGTGGAAGAGGACTACTAATGGCAGCTGTGGTCTTTGGTAGTTGAAAGCTGAGACTGCAGAATACAGCCTGGCAGGGAGGGAGGCACTCACTTTTGCCCTCAGTGTCC